TCAAGTTGGTACATCACTACCACAGCCCTAATCTTCTTAGTCTATGAACCTGAAGCTCATTTGCGAAAGTGTTCTCCAAAAAGATTGCAAGTTTTATTTGAGACCGCAAGGGAAACTCTACAAACATTCTTATCAACATGAAACATCGGTTTCTATGGTAAGAGCTCGTTTTGAAAATATGTTTGAAACAGTGCTAAATATTTTCCGAAACATGAAAACCGCAGAACGCAAAAGTCCTTTTCTGCTTGCGGTCAGCTCCTTGCCACGCATTAGACGTTCTGGAAATGACATCAGCCTTCCAAACAGGTTGAGCGCCCACTTCGTTTTCGATCCATTTCTTAAAGTACTGTCGCGAAAATCCAAAAACACATTTAACGCGCTCAACTGCAAGGTAATAGTTTTTTTAAAATTCCTGATAACCCCAGAGTGCGTTTAGTTCCTGATAGGCTTCACGAACAACACTTTACATGAACGAAATACATAGCATGTTTGCTGTTTGCGGCATAACTCTCATCCTAAAACTTAATAGATGCCTAATGTGAGTTTTTAGTGGCAGTACAATTTATCGATAGGTTGAAATAGTACCATTTTTTTGTCTGCCCAATATTAGGCCTTCGAAAGCGGAAATCTTCAACAGCGGTTTTCATCGATTAGTTATTCGATAGTGGCCTCTACCACAAACCGGCCGCCGATCTAGCAGAAAAAAGTGTCCCATGCCCGCTTCGAATCGTGGCATTTAGCTTGGAGTGTGTTGATTTACCCATATAATCAAACCCCCACTTTTTTCTGAGGCGCACATGTTTCTCGTATTTTACAAAGCAAGGGTACTTGGTGAAGGCATTTCCACATGAAATTATACTGTCTTACAGAGCATGTAACGCTGATTCTTCTGGAAGGGGAGTCATGGGAATTTTCTGAAGTAAATTTCAATGCGCAGCTACAATAAAATCATTCAAAACGGTAATCTGTAAGCTCAAGTGAGGCCATGATTACTGCCACGACGCTTCATGCAGTTAATATCTTCAATCTAACAAACATACGCTAGTCATTACTACTTTCAAGGATCTTAACATTTGTTTTACCCTAGACAAGTCCTACAATTCTTGCCTCGGAATTCCCGTAACTCCCTCAGAAGCGCTTTGGAATAGGGAAAGCAGATCTGGTATTAGCGTTCCATGCTCTATATGATAGTACACATTCCATCTGGAAATTCCATTTCGACTAAGTATCCTTCCCTTAAAGGCAGCATCCGGGCAGATACGAAAATGTAGAGTACAGGGCTCCGTCCTGGTAAGGCTCTTTCCCAACTGGCAATGCACCAATTTGCTTCTGAAGCGAGAAATCCGGGACGAGTTAGTTCGATAAGCCAGAGTGCGCATACCGCACACAGTCAAGACGTAGGGACTCACAAACACTCTGCGTCTTAACCTTGGCGGCAGGCGACAAAATCCAAATCAAGACCTTCTGGAAAAGCTCGTTTGCGGCGTTTTCGTGTCCTCCAAGCTTAATTACGAATCTGCGGGAGAAATAAGCCCAGGTAAGCGAAAAAAATCCCTTTCGAGATTTCGCCCGGACGCTACCTTCAAAAGAAACCGTTAGTATAGAGATCAAAGGCATGGTTGATACCGCGCTTAGGGGCCTTATGTTTGAATTAGCCTCGCTGCAGCTGTGTTGCAATGACGGAGGGTTACTACCCTCTGTCTTGCCAATGAAGATCTTAGCTAGGAGGCAGTAAAATCTCTTTGATATCTATGAAAAATGCAGAAATTATCTATTGATACAGCCAACTTCTTTTTTATGTCGCTATGCCAAATATAGATCAATTTTGATATGTATATACCAGTGCGCCACCTCTGCTTCGCAGAGGCTCGCACTGGTCTCACTATCTGTATGCCTTACTCATTCCCACATTCCCACAATAATAACATTGAAACTCACCGCGCTATGCAGACTATCATGAATGATTCGTAAACAACTACTCATTTCTAAGACTTTTTCATGTGAGATCGGTAATTTCCCGTAAATGAAACTTTTCCCAGAAGAACAAGTGCAAACTTAAAATGGTTTTTGGACTTTGGTAGTTGCCTTGAGGACAGTGATCACCGTGGGCCACATCAATTTTCACAAATGATCAGGTAAACTCTTGGCAAATTAAAGTTTACATCAATTCTTTTTGGCGCCACCTTCGTAAAGTAATAAACTTTTATTCACTTTTCTGTGCTAAAGTCCATGGTTTGCACATTAGCTTATTAAGCGTACTCATGATTTTGCAAAAAGTGCTGCTACAGCATAGTTTTGCTGGCCAGAAGTTAAGTGGATCCGTCTGACACGCAATTTTTGAAGGATCCATTCAATGGATCCGCTCGTGCTTCTGCATAGTGGGCTTTGATGCTGGTAGCATACGCCGTGCAAAATTTGGGCTCGGGACATTGGCTGGAACACGCTCTACGAATTTCGTAACGGACAGACACACACACATACACACAGACAAAAAGACGTAAACAACCCTTAGCCCGTTATTATAAGTCATGATAATCATCATTCGCGCGCTGCGACCACTTCACTTCCCATACGGATTTCTTGCATGTAGGTGGTCTCCTGGTACGTCATTCTTGCTTTGCAGAATTTTTATGTTGAAACTGTGAAAAGGCTGGAATAATCGGCTGTTTGAAGATGACATTTGTTGGTGTGGATTGGAATGACGCTTTGAACATTACCATTCCTTTGAGGAAGATGAAGGCTTGGAAACGTGGTGCCGTGAGATTGTAGCATTGAGGTCACTCACCCAACGGGCACACAATTTGAAAATAAAATATGTTCTAGGTTTTAAAGAGACAAAGAGACAGAACCTGAAAGTGAGTAGGTTTTTTCTGAGTGGATATGGTCAAAAATCTTGAACTCTCAGCGAAAAGGAGGATGACGACGTTTAAAAACACGAGTGTTACTATCAAGACTGATTCTTCCTGAGGTCGGATGCAAAGGGTAAGCGTGCTATAAAAAGCGCTTGTATTGCAAGAGATCACTGCTGTGGCGAGGATAATACAACAAGCACACGTCATACTTATCTGCTGCATACTCTAGTCATTTCATTCGCCTCGATTATGACACAATTAGTGATGCCGTTTTTTGTTTCGAAGTTGATGGACTTGATGAGATAGAAAAGTAGAGAATTGTGGCGTTTGCTACACATGATAGAATGAGCGAACAAATGTAGCGCATTGACACAAAACTTGACAAAATGCAGAGATCGTGCTGGAGCGCTTCATTAATTTAAAAGAAAGCCTTGACACTCAGTGTGAAGCTGTATATATGGTGCAGGTGCTCGAGGTCATGTAACGTTCATATTGGAATGACAACTCCAATTTATGCCAAGTAAACGGAAACTATGCCGCCGCAGTCTGGTCTAATTAATACGAAAGGTGTTTTAGTTTATCTATGTTGAGCTCTATGCCTTTATGCGTTGGTGATTGTGGAATTGACTCCTGGTCAAAGTGACGTAGAGGTCAGATGAGCATAGAGTATTCAACATGATAAACTAAAACACCTTTCGTATTAATTAGACCAGACTGCGGCGGCATAGTTTCCGTTTACTTGGCATAAATTGGAGTTGTCATTCCAATATGAACGTTACATGACCTCGAGCACCTGCACCATATATACAGCTTCACACTGAGTGTCAAGGCTTTCTTTCAAATTAATGAAGCGCTCCAGCACGATCTCTGCATTTTGTCAAGTTTTGTGTCAATGCGCTACATTTGTTCGCTCATTCTATCATGTGTAGCAAACGCCACAATTCTCTACTTTTCTGTTACATTCCACTTTTTGCTTTTTGTACTTTTCATTAACTAAATAGAGTGATGAGGAAATTGTTATGTGACGAACCCTTAAGTATATTGTCTATAGCTTATGCGCGCTGGAACATGGAGGCATCTTAATTCTAAAAAATTGTGCAAATGGAAAGCTATTACAAAGCTTTCTAAAATGAGTAATTTCTGAGGTGTGACTAAAAGAACAGGAATTTAACTAAGAAAACTGGAGCTAAGAATTGTTTGCAAGGCATAGTTGCTTACGCTAAAGAGCAACTCAGCGGAGTTAACACAGGAATGTGTAGGAAGAAGAAGGGATGGTGCTGTTGGCTGAAGATCTCGTAGAAGACCGAAGGCTCGGGAGAAGTAAACAAGACATTTTCTTTTGAGAAACCTCAAGTATTAAAGAGAAAACAATGTTTTTGTGTGTTTTGAAAAATTTGAGAAAAGTTTGTTTGGAAATTCAAACCTTCTCAAAGTTTTTCTTATTTGTCCAAAAGTTTTCAATTTTTGTGCATTATTGTTCATTTAGCAACGTCGAAATCATCAAACAAATTTTCGTCCTCCTTCGTGATTTCACACAGGTTATTAGCGGTACATCGCGTCAACTCATGAGTAGCCATCACTTTTTAGGCATTATCATTCAATGCTAGTTCACGCAAAGCTTTTACTTTATCTTCTGAAATGCAGCAGATACTTACTGAAATTTCAATTTATTGTCCTTGTCAATGCGATTAGGATTTTTTGATTCTGTAGAACAAAACATAGAAAATTCATTAAAAGAGAAATTATGAAGCTTGAGAAACACATTGTTGAGGATTGCCAAAACTGACATCTTGAGCATCAGTATAACTCAATTAATAATTACAAGAAATTCGTAACATCAAGGACAGCTCGGGTGAAGTTATAGCTTATTTTTTGTCCTTTCTAATGTATGCCCAACTTTTAGTCTCATCTTTATTTGTAGACCTCCCTTCCAAATAAAGGTCTAATGCTTGAATTTATTTCATAATGTATCTTTGGAACAACTTTTTAGTAAAAAGATTTAAACTCTGTTGGGAAAGCAAGCAAAGATAAAATAGAGGTTAATCGAACGTTTTTTACGAGACTATCCACTTGAAAATGGTTTCGTCAAGCATAAAATATTTCTATGTTGAGTCGATGTGAATAATACCTTATCTGATGTTTTTACAGGCGAAAGAATGCGCTGACAGTTGTTGGAACAAATTTTCAGAGGTAAGCCTGTACGACCGTAAATTCTTAATAAGTGCTTTAGCTTATTGTTGCAGATCACTAGTAGCCCACAGCAGCTTTACAACTGCGTCTCAACAAAAATGCCAGTGATCAGCAATTTCATTCGCTGTATGAGCAGCCACCTCAAGAGGTTTGTTTATGGCTTGATCAAGCAATCCCTCTCCCATCCGCCTCTCCGCAAAAACTGAAGAGTATAGTTCACTGTTTGCATGATTTGGCAAATTAAAATATTGTTTAATGCAGTTAAACGACTCATCGCGAATGCCTCCTATATTTGCCGCTTCAAAAATCATTCTATATTATTTGCATGCGGCAGAGAGAAAAGCTTGTCAAAATTCAAATAATTACGATCTAGATGGCATGAAATTGAGATACAATTGGTTTTAAAACATTTTACGCAGGCCAACTTTGAAAATAGATTGCCTAGCGCAGAGCTCAAATATTCAAGCTCCTTTATAATTGGGGTCCATCGCATTCCGCTGGGGGCGAGTTTTTTTGTTACAAATGAAAACTACTTTGCCGTGATTTGGCTAAGGAATGGTAGATGACTAATTAAACACTTCGAGATGAGAAGAGCAGTCAAAAGCAAGGTCGAAAACTCTATGTTCTTTCCCGTCAAATTATACACCACTAGACCGCTTTCAAATGCCAATTCTGAATGCCTCTATATTTATTTATGTTTATACTTGTAAAGGCTTTTCTTGTTTAGCGTAGTAAGCTCGGTATTCGACAGAAATCTTTTCTGTATCCTTCCCAGTAACTTTCTACCATCAAAGCATCCGTGTTCAGAAGCATACCTTCAATCTATTAGAAGTTCGAGCTACAAAAGACGGCTCACACGACACTCCTACAGAGAAAGCTAAAAGCTTCTTTGCTAGTGTATTTCCGTACTAACTTGTCAGCTTTACTAAAAAGTTTTTGTTTTCAGTGAGCTTTAGTACAGCTACAAAAGTTTTAGCATCTCAAATTTTATCCTTTGATTGTCCATATTTTGGTCTTTATTTACCGAGTCTCAAGAGCAAAGTCAGAGCCACTACTTTCTTAATGAAAAAGGTTGTTTGATTGGAGTGACTTTGGTCCTCGAGGAGTATAGCATGGTGGCGAGTGACGATTGCCAGTCGCTAAAGTTGACGTTTGCACATCAGATAGTTATCGATTGTTGGCATAGTTTACATGCTATACTCCTCAAGGAGTATAGCGTCTGCCTAACCTAACGGACAGAGCTTAAGATGCTTTTAAATATACCTTCCATATCCAAGAAAGATCAACCGCTAATCGTGAACTTTTGAAATCTGCTGTACATCGGAAAGCTTGTCTTCGTCGCTAACTTCAAGTCTGTGTTTCTTATCTGCGGGAAGTTTTCCTGAGAAGAGATAGCGCTTGTGAAAGCGCACGCATTTGCGCCGCCGAAATCAGACCGGCATTTCTTGCACAATAATCCAAATTCGCTAACCATTCAATACCTTTAGCGTTTGCCTTCATTACTCGCACTCTCGTGCAAACGCGTCAGGCGCAAGGAGATATGGTTTTTCTGAAGAAGTGCTACGCAGATAAGGAACACAGTTTCGAAATCAGCTTCTGAAGGCGAATATCATGACATATGTCAAATATCGAAATATCACTGCCACCAAGAATCCCTTCCCCACTAAAAGCGTAATTCTGCAGAAAGTTACGGGATTTTTGCATGTGTAATGAAAGTGTGTGGTTTGAAAAGAAAATGACGACCTGTGAATAACAACGTGGTTGAACAATATTCGCAAACGTTTAGATGGTAACAGGTTAGACCTGTAATGCTCGCTAGGTGGTTTGGAGTCTGCAAACAGTTGTGCATCACAGTGATTTTGCGACTCAAAATGCACGGGATTTTGGCTTAAAAAAAGCTCACAGTTTTTGATAACCGCTTCAGAAATATAAAAGGTATTTTTGAGATCAGCGTCTCAGCCTCCATCCGTTGGTACACATCATTTTTCGAATCGCCGCTCCACCAGGCGGCCCCTTCTTGGTAAAGAATGTATCTGCAGTCATGGAAATGAGTTCGTATTGGATTGATAATTTAATGAGTGCGAACATGTTGTCAACATAATTGAAATAAATGAGTAGAATAAGAGCTGATGACTTGGGTGAATAATCAGTTATTTGACACAGCCAAAATGAGTAAAAACTTCTCTAAAATTTCCAAATGCAGCAGAACTTCCTCATTAAATCATTAGGGATTATTCGCAACTTGTATGTAGTTACTAGCACTAACGATTTAGATTGATAAGAATTTTATAAGTTCTCAAGATAATTTGATAAGGGTTTTATAAGCTTTCACTCCCTTGATATCTCAATTACTTCAGTTGTGTTAACTCGCCAACAGGACCTCAAGTCCCGAAAGTGGATCTGCGCAAACTGTTTGACAGTCTTGAGCAGAAGGTACTTGCAAGCCGAGCCGAACTTCTCAGTCAAGGGCTAGTCACTGGCATGAAGTAGGTTTTTATAAATACACCGTCGAGATCGTCTTCGAGACGTTTCTGCTGTCTGAAATCATAGCATAGCGAGCGATAGTTTGCGGGACACGATAAATTCTGCTGTTTCTTTAAAATCTTGACAGCAGATATTACCGAATAAACAATGAAATTTATTGAAAGATGTCATAAAACCTTTAAACTACCAATGGCGAACAAATTTGAGTGGCAAATCGTATGAGCTTTAGCCATGGTCTAAATTTCTGTTTCAAGATATTGTCAATTTGACAAAAAAGAGGAGCCACACTGCGTACATTCAATAATTTGATCACTACTTTACACTTCTTCTTTAGAAAAATGCATTATTATGTTTTGAGTCACAGCCGAGGCATGTTGTTTCCAGTTGCGTTTAGGCCCATCGCAGAGGCTGCAGTGAAGTTTGGTACCTGCGTCAAGCAGTGTTTTGTTTACGATAAAAACAGTGAAGGATTCTGTTACGATGGAAAAGGGTAAGTCTCCGTTAGGAGGTCGCTCTGAGCAATTGCTTTTGACACTTTTAGTTGTCAACCTTCCATTACGCAAAAAAATCTGCGAACATCCTTGAGAATATGTTTGGCTCAGACAGGATGGAAGACTCATGCTTACGATCTGTGCGAATGTGCACGTAAAGCTGGAGTAGAGTGAGTTCTTTTGTGCTATGCAACAAATATTGAGGGGCATTTTGCAATTATGTACAAGTACGGGATAAAGTTGGTGGGAGCGAGGTAATCAAACGTATTCAACCCGTTTTTTACCGTTTTAAGAAGGGAGATCTTGCATTTGTTTTCAAAAGTTGTCAACTTGAGTTTATTTTATGTGAGCAAAGCACATATTTTTATAAACTAAAATTCAAGAGTCGCATGGTCCCACATTTTGTCCTACAAAAAATTTCTATATCTCCTCGATCTTGATTGGTAACTATTACGCTCAAAGGAAACATGTCTGCAAATGTTCATACAGGCAGCTTTTTACGACTGTTGAAGTTTTTTGATGACATGCTAAATCACTGATTGGGGCACTATAAAAAAATTTTAGAACCTCCTGGCTACGATTCAAACGAGTTGTAAAAGGCTGGGGTTGGCTTGGCTCTGTAGTCTAAGGAGCTTTTGGAGATAGCAAACTTAAGGTGTTCCGCAGGTACTGCCTTCTTCTCCGCTAACTAGTCTCGGTTGGGAATATTTCCGCCCCGCTGACTGCAAGGGACTAAAAAAGACGTCGAAGAAGCAAATGGATGGGAGGAACAAGTTTGGGGGCAATGCCGTGCTAGGTTTTCTACGCTTATGTACCGCTGTTCACATATATACTCATTCGAATCATTTGGATTCAAGACGTCGATATACTATCGTCTATGTATAGTAGTACTCTAGCTAGTAGCACTCTAACATGTATTTCAGTCAGTTATTAGAAGGTTGTGGGAAAATGACGAAGGTTGCTTTTCACATATGCTATTCTTCTCCTGTAGTTCGTTAGATTTAGGACTCATGTTGTATTGTTGAATGCGTAAAATTTGTTGCTCACTTAGACATGCATATCCACGTTCAAATGCTGGATGATATATTAGGTCATTCCGAGAGTAATTTCGCTTTTTTCAAAAGGGCTCCACATCTGACGGAATGAAGTTTTCTGAGATATCTTGATAGCATTCGATGCAGAATTTCATCTTCTTTCTAACAGTCGTGAAATAGTTGCAGCACAATTAATGAGTTCTAGGGAACTTACTAAAATCTGCGACCCATGCTTTTTTGTGGTCAGGTTTAGCTATTTTTCAAATTTTTAAATCAACCCTCCAATAAAGCCTAAGCAGCAGGTGGATAGCGCAAAATCTACAAAAAACAAGCAAGTTTTTTTCTTTCCGTATCCCGTCGTATTTTTTTAATAAAATTTCAATTGATACTACCAAACTCCATACATGGTCAACTCAAACCTCGTAGAACATGAAAGATGAGCAGCTTAGTATCATTTGATACAGCTTTTCCTCCTCTTTCTAAGGAATGTTTTTTTTTCGTTTCATGGAATTTTCAGGGATAAAATCATAAAATCATAATTCACATTTTCGAAAGCGTGCCGGGCTGTACCCGAAAAATTCGAAATTAAATATTAGGTTGTCCCATAAGTCTTTTCATTTTTGAGTTTTCGCTATAATAAGTCACACACTTCTTATTCTGAATAGATATCAGGATACCATTCGATAGAGCAAAGCAAGCTCTATAAGATGCCGTTAATGCTTTTGCACAAGCTTTGGTACATCTCGAGTTTTAAACCAAAATCTAAAAAGTTTCGGATGGCCAGAAAACCGAAAATTTTTTATATCTTCGTTCAAAAAAAATCCTACAAATCTCTAGCACGCTCGCGCATATACATTCCACATCAAACATTCATATGTGCTGTTGTATTTTTTTATCAGCTAGAAATTAAGAAACCGAAAATTTCCATGTTTTTACCAAAGTGATGCTGTGCTGTTCTTATACTAACAGTTCTATACTACAAGCCCTTAGAAGTACAATTGTAAATTTTTAGCTCTCTGTAGGCTCTGGTTTCTGAAAAATGTTGATTCAAGCGTGAAAAACTCGAGTGAAGAAAGCTAAATTTGATATTTCTCGTGAACCAAAGCATATAGAAAGCCAAAAATCTACGGTAGTCCTTCTAAGGGCTTCTAGTATACAAATGTTAGTGTAAGAACAGCACAGCATCACTTCGGTAAAAACCTGGAAATTTACGGTCTCTTGATTTCTAGCCGATAAAAAATACAGCAACAGCACATATGAATGTTTGATGTGGAATGTATATGCGCGAGCGAGCTAGAGATTTGTAGGATTTTTTTGAACGAAGATATAAAAAATTTTCGGTTTTCTGGCCATCCGAAGCTTTTTAGATTCTAGTTTAAAACTCGAGATGTACCAAAGCTTGTGCAAAAGCATTAACGGCATCTTATAGAGCTTGCTTTGCTCTATCGAATGGTATCCTGATATCTATTCAGAACAAGAAGTGTGTGACTTATTATAGCGAAAACTCAAAAATGAAAAAATTTATGGGACAACCTAGTATTTCGATTCCGATAACCTTCATTCGTTTTGTAAAAATAGTGTTAAATCATAGCACCACTTGGAAGTTTCAGATTCCAAAGATTTATTGGTGTAATCCGAATGTGGCTTAGCTGAAGTAGGCCTTCCAAAATCCGATGGTCTTAATGAAAAATCCTTTAGGGAATTCTGGCGAGATATGGGAACGAGAAAAGAGTTGCGCCGTATCCTCTGAGGTTTGCTCTATCAAACTTGGCCTCTTTTGAAGGATGGACATAATAGTTTAGAAATGTGAAACTTGAGTATTTCAAAAAGCATCGGTCGCAAATTTTTGTAATTTTCCAAGACCTCATTGACTGTGCTGCAACGATTTCATAATCGTTAGAAAGAGATTGAAATTCTACATCAAACGCTACAAGACCTTTTAGAAAACCTTGTCTCATTGGATGCGGCGCCTCTTTAAAGAAAGCGAAATTACTTTCGGAATGACCTAATACATTCACTTTGCTAAGAAAGTCAAAAGTTTGAAAGTTTTTTGAGAAAAAACTCTCCGTTACTGTTCATTCTTTCTTCAAGCCTGTGAGCGTTGGAATAGTAACCAGGGCTCGGCACAGGTGGCTTACAAGGCAAGCTAGATATCGCTTTGGAATAAAAAGCAAGGGAGATATCGTTTAAGCGGACCTCCCCCCTCCCCCACCCCTAAGCACACAATCGCTTTCTTCCTTTATGCCACCTTTCATCTTCTAGGACGCAAGTTTTCTTTCCTGCCTTATCGATCCCATTCCTGCAAAAACCAAAAATTTTCTGTTTCAACAGGTCCTCCGGGTAAGCGCGCGAATTCAAACTTGTCCCGAAATAAACGAAGAGCCTTGTTTACAGCGAAGAGAAAATGAAATGACACCAAAATTGGTGTGTAGATGGGGGCAATAGGGAGTTAGAATCATGTGCGAAAAGTTGTGAAAAACTTATGTGAACTGAAGGCGTGGCTAAGTTTTTTCGGAGTTAGGCGGCTTTCCAGCCACCTGGACAGCCACCTGAGGTGGCTGTAAAAAGAAAAAGTCATGAATTTTCTTTCCTTCACATAATTTTTCCAGATATCTGACATAACTTTGTTCTACATCAAAAACCCTACAACTGAGTTTTTGAATCTCCCTAAACCCCATCTTCCCCGCTTAGTTACAGCCCTCCAAATATTTTGTATGGCAACGGCAAGCCTGCTCCAAGCTAACAAGGGTGCGCGCCGAACACAGCATGCCGCCAATTCGGAGAATACAGACACTTTCAGTTATTTTCCGTCTATTCGAGGCTTTTTTTGTTATATTCTATTATTTCTCCGTATTCGTTTTTATCCATTCATGATCGCGTAGGTGATGTCGTATTCTTGTGGCGAAGTCTACGTGGACTTGGTTTTTGAAAAATGAAAAAGCCACCTCATGCCGAGCCCTGATAGTAACATCAAATTTCATAACTATCTTATAAGTAACTAGAAAGTCTTCTTAAGTGTTCGTGCTGTTTTTTTCCTAATTTCACATCTTGTACAATCAAAACAAAATGACTCTTTTCTTGCTTCGGTGCAAAATCTTACCTTTTCAATTATGTTTTCAAAGCGTTATTTTTCATTCTAAACCTCAATCATTACCAAAACTGTTTATATGGAAAATCTAGTGTTACTGCTTTTGAAGGAAGAATTTTTTGATCGTTGCCACCTCAAGACTATTAGAATTGAAGAAAAGGGCAACTTTGTAAGTCAAATTCAAACGCTTCTCATAAGAGCCACTGCTCAGACATAACCTCTGAAAAAAGTTTTGCTACAAAATCTTGGAAGTTTTCTTGTATCCGTGTTTCAAAGAATTCACGACTAAGTCAGGGAATGGCGTATATTTTCGAACCGTCTCAGTAAAGATAATGAATATTCACATGTTTCTGTTTCAAACAAGATAACTTATACTGATTGAATCAGCACAATGAAGGACTCCTTATAGTGAGCAACTTAAACGGCAAACGATATTTGCTGATATAGCAATCAAAAATACCACGCTGTCATGTAGTTATTCGAATCTAAAGTGTTCGAATGTTCGAATATACAGGGTGTCCGTAAAGTACGTATACACTGTTTGATCGACAATATCTCTTTTCCCAAGAACTCTTTTGCCTACCTCCAAGCACCATTTTGCAGAGCTGGCTTCATTTTACAAGGGAAGCTACTTAACTTAGCTCGCCCTTTTGGCAAGAGACATAAAGTGCGGTTCATAATTATACGAACACCTTGAATTTTGAAAGTTTTTGGACTTTTTGGAAGAAACTCAAAAAGCCGTTGGTACCACGCGATAGAGCACAGCCGAAAACGGTATATGATCCATAAGAATGGAAATCGATGTCAATCTTAGTAGTGTTTTTGCGCCTAATGCGAATTTTGAGCGGTTCATAATTATACAAACACCTCAAACAAAGTCCCATTTTTCATTCAAGATTGCAATCTTTTGAGTCCAAATTTTTTGTAGAGTAACAGTAACAAAGTCTGACATATCTGCTACACACTAAACCCAGTGCAGTTCAAAAAGAGGATCTTTACTTTTTTCGGATTGGTCTAAATGCTTTTGGAGTGATTGCGCTCCAAAAACATCCGTTCTTTTGTAGTTCACTCACTCTAATCAGCTTCCACCAAGGCTATGAGATAAAATAAGCTTTTTCGATAGGTATTTTGTTTGACGCCTGAAAAATCTATGCATTTTCGTGCCGCTTTTCAACCAAGTTCCAACCTCACCCTAAAGTTAGCACGATTTCGAGCCTCAAAACTCAGCTTTTCTCCCGCGCAAACATTTGATATGAAGCAGCTGCATTGTTTGCATGATAATGTATCCATGTCAAAGTTTTTGGGTTTTTTGTAGAACTGATCTTGAGGCTATGGAGCTACAAACCAAAAAAAGGTGTGACTGCAATAGTAAAAACAGTGGTTTTGGTGAAATGACGTCTGCGTGGCCGAAACAAAGGCTCAATCCCGCTATTTTTTTCTAGCCAAATACACTGTCTTGTGAACTTCTACATACTATAAGCTTACTTCATTGAAGGGCTTCAGAAGCTCAGTTTTGAGGCTTGAAATCGTGTTAACTCTAGGGTAAGTTTGAAACTTGGCTGAAAAACGGCACGGAAACGCAAAGATTTTCCAAGCGTCAAACAAGAATACCTAGCGAAAAAGCTTGTTTTATCTTATAACCTTGGTAGAAGCTAATTAGAGTGCGTAAACTATAGAAGAATGGATGGTTTTTGGAGCGCAATCTCTCCAAAAGCATTTAGAGCCATGTGAAAAAAGTAAGGATCCTCTTTTTGAACTGCGCTGGGTTCAGGGTGTAGCGGATGTTTCAGACTTTGCTACTGTAACTCTACAAAAAATTTGGACTCGAAAGATTGCACTCGCGAATGAAAAATGGGCTTTTATTGAGGTGTTCGTATAATTATGAACCGCTCAAAATTCGCATTAGGCGCAAAAACACTCCTAAGATTGACATCGATTTCCATTCTCATGGATCATATACCGTTTTCGCCTGCGCTCTATCGCGTGGTACCAGCTGCTTTTTGAGTTTCTTCCAAAAAGTTCAAAAACTTTCAAAATATATTATAAACTAAACTAAAAACTATAACTAAACTATAACTATAAACTTTCAAAATATATTATTAAAATATATTGTTCGTATAATTATGAACCGCACTTTATATAGTCTGAATCAGCTTCAAACGCTGATTCCAAATATTCTATTCCTAGCTGCCATGCACCATTCCGAGGCGAGTTAGGGGCTTTTTCCTGCGCATGCTCATCGGCTCATGGGCATCACGTCATCATTATTTGAATGCTTACACACATGTGCTAAGCTTTTTTTAGTGAGAAAAAATTGGATTCGTACTATTTCGATTAGCAACTTTTTCTTGCAGATTTTTATCTACAGGCAGTCTTTTCATGTTCAGTAGTATGCCAATTTTGCGTAGGAAAAAGTCAATAATTCGCTTCGGAATGGTGCGTGGCAGCTAGGAATAGCATATTTGGAATCAGCGTTTGAGATTTAGAGTATATATGCCTTTTACCAAGAAGCCGAGCTATGTTAGGTAGCTTTCCTTATTAGATTTACAGTATGGATCAAATCACGGATCGTTCTTCGTTACTGTAAGACTACGGTAGGAACTCTCAGCTTTCGTCATTACGGAATTACCTTGTTTCAAAAAAGTTTCCAAAAAATCAGAAAAGTGGTGTACAAGGGTTTTCAAGCTTGCTGATTTTATTATTCAACTTTTTACGAGTTTGGAGAGCTTTTGAAATGATGTAGTCTCAATTTTATGGAGTCTTGTAAAAACAGCTTTTGCAGTCTACTTGGAATAACTTATGAAGGAAACATTGCGGCAAAGTGCCATATTTGGTTTGAGCGGCTTTAGTTGGCTTAGCATGAAAGTTTTCTGGTTGTTTCGCTTGTTTACTGAGGCGAGATAGCGTCCTTGATGGCTCACAACCTTTCTTATATTTTCTACCGTAATCCTACAATAATGAAGACCAGTGATTCACCCCATACTGTAAATCTAAGTTGAAGCCAGCTTACAAAATGGTGCTTAGAGGTAGGCAAGAGACTTCTTGGGAAAAGAAATATTAACGATCAAACAGTGTATACATACTTTACGCTCACCCTGTATATTTGAAGGTGAGAATTCAAACTAATTTATTATAAACTTGTTTCAGGGGCCTAGATGACGTCTGCTCGTTGCTGAGTACAATTCGAGGCAGTAAGCACTCATAAAAATAGTCAAACTTCTTGTACGAATTTTGTACACATCCGTTACAAAAGGATCTTACAGAATGCAATTAAAGGGTAATAAATGTTTTTAGTTGCACTTCTCTTAATGTTCCGGTTCAATATGTGTTTTTGTTGCATTCGAATGGTAGATGTCACCGAGACTGCTTTTTTCAACACTTCAGAGGCAGATATGACGAAATAAATGCTGTTTTAAAACAGAACACAAAAGCTTGACCTTTATGAAGAAAAAAGTTTACCCCAGAAAACCGTCAGTGAACTTGAAAAAAATGTTCGAGATGTATCTCGAGACACAGAATCAATTTAATCAATCTTTATGGTAAAGAACAGAATCAATCTTCCACAGAAGAGTTCGGCAGAGAAAGGCAACAAGAGTTATATGTGAAAGGCTACAAAGGAAACTGTTGCAAGTGATGTCTTTGTCAAAACATGTTCGTTTGCGTATCATCACAATAGATTATACTCATATAGCTAGCAGTCGCTAGAAAAGCTAAGCAAAGCAAAGCGGTATCATTAATAATCCCAGATTGGCTTTTTCTTGATCACTATTTTTTAACAAAAACGTAATTATCTTGAGTAGCTGCAAATACACTAACATTTTTGTGGCGATATAGCAATTTGCATTTTTCTTCTTGAAGGTAGTGTCTCAATAAATGTGAAGTAAACTTGCTTTGCACGTTTTTAATTGAAAAAACCCTTGAATAAATCAATGCTTGATTCTCATTAGATAAACCTCATCTACGTCGATGAAGTTGGGCACAAAGTGGTGCGCAAACCGCGATTCAGCGCGCGTCGAAGATTTGTTGCTTACCCCCTCATGCATTTTAAGACGTCATTCCAAGCGACGCGACGTTTTCCAGACCGTCACTTGAAGAGAATTCTCTTGCGGCTAACATCAAGTGTAAAAATTCGGAACTAGTCCGCGCGTTTCCAAGGGATCTTTAAACAATGGCACTTTTGGTATTTTACTTTAATTGAAGCCTGTACAAGATGGGTTATACCATACAGGACTGAAAAGTCTCGTAACCTCACAAAATTTCGAAACCCAAATTGTGGTACACACTGCCTATTGGTGAGTTTCTTCAAATTATGTCCAGAGTATAAATCGATACTATCATTTTGCTAAGAAAGATCTACTTTGCTACAAATGCACTGGATCAGACCGAAACTGCTTTCCTCCTCGTATACATTTGCAAGACTGCAGTTTGCCTTTCTCCGATTTTTTTGTAATTGCCACATTCCTGATGGTACCAAAAACAGTTGTTGAAAGCAGCAGAACCTAAAGCACAGCTAGCGTCACCACATCGGCACCAACTAATCCATATTCACCATTTTTTTTATTTCACTGAGGTCAAGCTAGATATACACGGTCTGGCATTGTTTGCGGCTGCTGCGCAACGCAACTAAACTCTGCGATGGCCCGACTTGAGTGGGAATGGGCAAGCGTTTCAACACATGTCGCGTGCTCCGCATTGACAAATCTTTGCGATTGTTGGATTACATATTCTGTACAACAGTGAACCAACAAGATACTGTACTCGTAAGGTCATTCCTGATTTTTTTTTGTAAAGAAACAATTTTGTTTAAGAGAAAGTGATTAAGAGTTAGATGTTTGAGTTAATCACATGGTACAGAGTAGCATTTAGTCAAGAGGTGTTCACAGTTGTTTACACAGCTGTGCTCTGAAGATTTGAAAGCTAAATTGACGGCTGGCAAGCAGCTTTACATCGAATTCGATTCTATGTTCTACGTCTAGCAAACCAGTGCCTAAAGATTCTGCCTGAAAAAGAAACAACAAGCGCTGTTTGTTCATTTTACGTCTCACTACTTACCCTAGTTTCATGTGGATATGCCGCATCTTTTTCAATTTTTATGCGAGCTGCTCAGCAACCTCACTGCGCTCGGGAAGCGATCCTTGATTGTGGTCTTTTGGCGTGTTCGAGCTGGTCGATAATCACAAAAAAAATCCTTGCGGCCCATACACCTGAAAGCACGGTAAATCAAATTTTGACCATTAATTTGAGCGAGCGCTGTAAAAAGTTCTTCTTCGCCATTTTCAGACTGCAGATGTTCTTCGATACACCTTAGATTTCCAAATTACATGTTTCTTGTTGACAGAAGAAACCATTCAACTAGACTACGAAGCTTACAACGGCATACCCGACTCCGCCATTTTACTGTCCGCGTACCATAATCGAACCCCCCTTTCCACTGCTTCACTCCGCGAAAACTTCACCGCTTACTCTTCCTTGTAGGGGAACGTCCATGTCTCACCTGCAGCCTTAATCAGCATGCACAACCCTTCGCTGTACCAATTCCCAGCGAAATGCTTCAAGTTTACGGTGCAAATGATTGATGTTGATAAGAAATTGATGAAGGCATGTTGACTGCAGATCTTGTGTGTAATTAGCATTTGCCGGCTCGGCGCGCTACTTTTTTCGTTGCCGGACCTCTTTCGCTGACGCCCTGCCAATTAGGGATGATCTGTAACCGCGCCTAGGAAGGTGGTAAGTATTTTTTCGCTCCATTTATTGTATTCCTTTTGAATATTATTTATTGATTGATATGCAATGCGTTTATCAATCAACGTCTGAAAAACTTTTGAAGGCGACGTTCAGGCAAGATCCACCCATCCAGACTAGCGCATCTTGTAAAACGGGCCCCATGGGTATCCGATCTGCGTTGGTCCGATCCTTTGACGTGGTCTCTAAAAGGACCTGTGATATGTATCACAAACCGCCCGTCGTATCACAAACCTCCCCTGAGAACGTGTGCTCGCGCATCGATCGATCATGGATTACACCTGCAACCATGCAGTTGCAGCTTGTCCTCGGTGGCGATCCGAGGGAATAAACAATCTGAAATTTGTCCGCGCCCTCAAAACAGGATCCCAGAATTTGGGTTTTTTGAGGGTTTTGGGCAATTTGAAATTTATAACTGTAACCAGAACCGCGGAAAGGCCCTAGAACGACAAAAACATGAGGCGAAAGTTTTGCCCGGACCGCTGCCTTTAAGTCTCGAATATACCTCAGCGCAGCGACGAGGTATGACCGAAACCTTACAAGGGTGTCTTAAATAGGCGTTAGCAAGTAGTTGGACTTAGAAAAATTTGAGGATTCAAGCAAGTACCATCAGCAAGAACCAGAAGGGATTTACCGTTTCGTACGGAGCAGACGTCATGCGGCCTTGAAGAATTCCCGAGTATGTTTGATGTACCGAAGGTTTTCTGGGCCATCGTGGTGCGAGACATCGTGGCTCGCCATCAATGGTTAGTACTTTAAAAGATTAGATTGGCTGATAAAAAATTTCGTTCTGACATGCAACTTCAAAGCTGCATAAAACTTCAAGTTATTGTTATTTGGCTTCGATTTTTTGCGAGCTGGTAGCTCCAAGCTTCTACTGTCAGCGACTCATTAGATAGAATTCAAAAGCGTGAAAAAAACAGTTATGGCCATATGGCCATATATGGCTCTTGAGAAAATCACTTTTTTATCTTTCCAAGTTTCGTTCACAGCCTATAGTAAGTGCACAGACGACTGATTTGGTGATTGAATACATACAGCCTTTTGCTACGTGGTGGTTCACACTGGAGGCTGTAATCTGCTGTTTATATAATTCTGTAGCCAAAAATATGAAAATTTCTGATATCTGAGCATGGAAGTCAAATTTGGGGCCAAATAGTTTGAATTTGACCATCTATGGCCATGCAGATGTTTGGAAATATAAATTCGTATGTGTGCGTACCAGTGGCGTACCCAGGATTTCCGCTCGGGGGGGGGGGGGGAGAGGGTGCGACGAAAATTTTTTTTCGAATGAAGGTGCGTGGCGTTAGCCACGCACTCCGAAAAAATTTTAGGAGTGCTTCTCAAAATTTTTGGGGGCCCCCAACCCCTAAAATTCGGAAAAAGGGGGCGTGGCGTCAGCCACGCCCCCGGAAAAAAATTTTTTTACAAGGCTAATTTCAATTTTTGAAAATTTTTAAAAATTATTTTAATTACAAAAATAAACAAGCCACTTGCACATTTTTATAACCCTCCCTCGGTACGCCACTGGTGCGTACCATTCGTGCAACACCCGCTTTCGTTCTGTTTCTTGGAATACGATTTTTTGGAAGTTTGACAAAAATCTGGCTTTTTTGCCATACATACACCATACATACATGCGCAAATCTATCTGTGGCATTTTTACAGACCGTTCAAAACGACCGAATTTATTTTGTAGCCAACCCAATAGTTTTAGTATCAACTTTGATGTGGTTATTTGTGTTCAAGCCAAACCTATGTGTGCTCACAATCTTTTCCTTTCTAGTCGCGCTGGTATCAGGCATGCTGGTGGAGGTAGCTCGTGATACGGTCACGCAGACAAGGATTTAGTTTGCACGTCGTTCGTAACATCTTGAGGGATACGGGAACGGGTTCAGGGCTTAGCAGAAGTGGCGCTTTCACACGCTGGATGTTCTTTTTCGAGGGAAAAGCAATGAAGGACCCTAAAGTTTCCACCCGGAAATCTGACGAAATATTGAAAAGCACAACTCTAACTCTTAGCAAGCCAAATTTGAAGTTTTGACGTAATTTTAGCAATGACAGGTAGTTAACACATTACAAACAAGACTAGCGCATAAACCAGTGTGCACACGAATCATCGTGTCAATACAATCATTAACCAAAAAATATAAACAATCGGTTTGTTTACAACGAATGCAATATTGAGCCGCAAAATTCGGTTTGTACATCCGCAGCGATGATCGAAAAAAGTGTGAAAATTTATGAAGAAATATGTAAACGAGAGGTATTGTTTATTTTCTGTTTTAGGTTGCTCTTGCGCAACCTGGGAGCACCCTGAGGTTGCACGAAACAAATTCATGAGTCCTCACAATCTCCTCCTTCCTCACATAAACTAGTGTGCACACGATTCATCGTGTCAATACAATCATCATTTCCAGATTTTTTTACATAAATATATTTTTCAGATCAAGATCTACCTGTGAGTGCTCACCTTAACCTGATTCCGCGTTCCCTATGCTTGTTACGGCTCTTGGTTGACTAGATACAGCCATTCCCCCATTTTGCTCTTTAAACTTTGA